CACACACACACACACACACACACACACACACACACACACACACACACACACACACACATTCTTTTTAGTCAAGATATAAATCGATAAAGATCAATCGTTTATCACATATGTGATTCGTTATTTAATTTGAAAATTTCTGTCAGAAGAAGACTAATTTATTATAGTTTATTATTACATTATATCATATATTACAGTTGAATATATGGATACAAAATGTAATTGCATGCGCGATATGAGAAAGAAACGGAGATAGAGCAATATAATATTGTTTCTATATTTTATCTGTACATAGCGCGTGATATCATTTTCCTATAATCAGCATTTCTGCAACGTGAATCTATAATGATTATGCACTTGTAATTTTTTCTTCTTTTTTTTTTCTTCCTTTTACATGTAATAGCATTAATAATATTCGTAAGCACACAAATATTGACGTAAGTTACTTGTAATTTCAGTTAAGTAACTCTTGCAGTTTTCCTAATTTTTTTTAGAAACGCATTTCTAGAATTGCATTATCAATCTTAATGACAGGTCCTGTTCGTTGATTTATTTGAAACTTGTTGATCAATTTATTTATAACAAGACAAGTCCTGCGTCACAGATTTTCCGCCTCCAACTTCCGTCTAATTTCCCAATAAACGCTTAATCGAGCGGTACCAGGAATGAGAGAGCCGGGATCATGAGAGAACGCAAACTCGAGTATGATAACCCGCAGACACGACGTCTCGGCGATACGGCGAGGGTTATCAGAGTTACGAGAGTTACGTTGAATCGTCGGAAAATCTGGAATAACACTCGCAGGAGTTTCACATTACGTTATCATTAGACGTGGCAAAACACGATCCCAAGGCCAGGAGACGAATATGTTTGCGAGGATCTTTTCGGAGGCGCGTGTTTATTTCTATTATTATTACTAACTATATATATGCTGACGTAAATAAGATAGCAATTAATCTCAGCTAATTATTTAATTCCTAGAAATTAAAGTTAGAAAAATTGTTGGAACATAATTAATACGCAGGTATTTGTGAAATCTCTCTGGGAGACACATTTTTGTTTTTTTATATATAAGACTATTTTCTATTTTTTTTTTTTTTTTTTCAAAGGACACATCTTTTATGAGGGATGTCAAAAGCAAATTCTTGAGCAAGGCAAGTTGGAAGGTAAATTTTTTGTTAAAATAACGCTTATTTTTTTCAAAGTCTGAAAGAGTTCCAGAGAAATGAAACTCGTCATTGGAACCGAGAAAGGAAAAAGAGCTGTGAATCTGCAATTCTTAGGATAACGTAGAAAACATGTTTACTGAAATCTTGTAAAAGAAAAACAATTCTCAAATTTTTTAAGTATTTTTGTTTAAAATTTCAAATATAATTAGTAAATTTTTTAAATACAGCGTCAAAATAAATTGGAGTACAAACAGCGCAAACAAATTACATATTAAAAATTACAAGACAACAATTTCATGAGATGTCTATCATTTTTTTTATAATTGAAGCCGCAACGACTACTATAAACGGTACAATTATTAAAAATGATAGACATCTCATGGACATTAACCTACAGAATAGTGTAAAATCATTAATTTGATTTAACTATCTTTTTTTTTTATTCAATAAACAAAAATATTTGTATATTGTAAAATAAATGTTTAATTAGTACTATTTCAAAGAAATATGTATTAAGATTTAAAAAATTTCGTTTTATTATATCTAAAAGTTTACAGGTACAGATCTAGAAATAATTTTGTTAAACCATCAAAGTAATAACGTATAGAGACCCCAATTGTAATGATGCAAACGCTGCAAAAGATTGACATTCTGGAAAATAATAAATTGGAGCGTCCTGCAGAATTATTATTTTCGTGCAGATTTTTCAGGTAGTAAACACTCCAAGAAAAGAACACTGATTGTGAGAATCGCACAGTCGGTGGTCTACGCGACGTGGATGGTTCTCGCGATTTAATCCGCGTAACCCTTCTCCTCTCTTTTGCAGAGGCTCAAGGGGTTAATGATAAAAGTAGCCGGCACGAACATCGCGCCTTCAGTCGATCCGCAGCCTCTCTGTCGGCTGCTGTTCCCCTGCCGCTCTCTCAAACGTTTTTCTCGCGAGGAAGAGGAAGCGCCTCGAAGCGTACCTCTCGTTAATATGCCTGTGACAATCTAAGATTTTCTCGCAAATCACGAGTACACGCGTATCGATCAGTGTGAATCCTCAGACAATGATGTATAAGCTAATCGTGTCTTGTGCATTTCTCTGCCTGTTCTATCCGCGCCTTCGGCTCTGCGAAGCCGGCGCGTCTGCCAATCGGTAAAGATAATACCCCTTGGCATTTTATTTCGCGAAACTAACGTTCCCTCTTCTCTCGATTATTCTTTTTATCGATTACCCGCGGATATCGGACTTTCTTGCAGATTCTCCGATTATCGCTGACTGACCGAGAATAATAATCGCGATGCGCATTAATTTAATAATAGCCACATCGATTTTTCCTCGCGATAAACTTGAGAGTATAAGATGTCGTTAAGGAACTAAGCTATGAAATAGATCTTTAAAAAAAAAAAACTGTTCTACATAACAGATTACAAGATTCTATTCGAGATGTTTAATATCTGGTATACTTAAATTAATCTTGAAGTGAAGTGGCTTCTGAACGTATCTTTGATGTTTTGTAAATACTACCGAATGGAGGAACTTTGAGTTGTCCGAGTAATTTTGGTCGCACTATCCAAGGAACACACAAAAGTGAACAGAAAATAAAAGAGACTTAATTTTTATTCTTAACGTTAATAAATAGTCAAATTTTGCAATCCAAGATTATTATTTTGACTTTCATGATGTCAAAATCATCTTGATTTTCTCCTGAGTTCGGTATAATCACACTTTTTTAGTGATTTGCAAGGCAGTCATGATTTCCAATTGATCGCAAAAGAAATTATTTGCAAAATTCCCTCGCAAAACCGATATTTATTATATTTCTCGCTCTGGTTTAACCGGCTTGTTCTTTTAGAGGATATGTATTCACTGCACCGAGGAGATTCTTGGCCGGCGAAACCGAGAGCGGCTGTTTGTCGCTGCACAATCTCGAGCCACCGGCACACGTTATCCTGGAGCTGCTATCTCCAGCGGGTACAAGTGCGGAAGATGAGGTACTAACCAGAACGAGTGGCATCATTAAAACAGGCAAGTGCATTCTTCTTTCTCGAATTCTACAATTGACGATGTCGTTTGATTTCCAAATGCTCGACAGTTTTAACTGACTCAAATGATTTCATGGCATTGTTCCCAAAACATAAAGATACCCAAAAAAAATTTTCTACTATTTAGCGGTTCCGTGTTAATGTCAGAGGATTTTCTATTTATATATATATGACTTGAAGAGGATACTCTGCAAAGTAAAGGAATTTTGTATAATCATAAAGTGTACTGGATTTAGGATTGCAATCCTTTCAATACTAGAAGAATGTACTGGCATGCACGCGTACTACAGTAAATGATAAACTTCTTCTAACAAATAAGCGTATTTTGTATATCCTCGTATTCAAAAGGTTATTATAATAGAATTTTTTATAGAGGAATTTATTTTTGATCATAGCTCATGTGTCCTCATTTTTATAGATGAATACGTGTTATAAATATACCCACCTGATTAATGTAAGATTAATGTAAGATTTTTTGCTTAGAAGAAATGCTAAGAGGAATTCTCCGCTTATCGGCAGAATATTTTTTTTTTTTTGGGTAGACAAATGTTAATATGCGCTAGAATACTAGCAAATTTTATGGAATTAGCAAGTCGATATAGGGACAGACACTCATCATGTAAAATGTACTTAATTTTTTTAGTAAATGAGCGATCATCGTATAGTTATATTATAAGATACTTTTCACATTTTTGTAAAATAAATCTATAAATTACATCAAACATCTCAATAAAATTTACTTTAGCGACGAGTATTTTCATCTTAGCGCTGACAAAATTTAATTTATTATGCGGTGAAAAATACAAATGTAATAAAGTCTTGATAGTTATTTGAGTTTATAGTCTTGAGAATAGTATGACTTATTTTACTGTAAGGTAATAATAACTTGAATAGATTTACTATAATTGTAATGTACTTTTTTACTTTATACCTTCTATATTTTCACTTCTAGGCAAATAAAGTTTACTATAAATTCGACAAAAATTATCAGAATATTTTTATTATCTTTTATTAATCTTGTAAGGTAAAAAATTGTTTAATTTTTCTCCTTGCATAGAGAATTGGCAAAATGTAAAGATACAAATTTGAATTTGAATACCAGAATTTTTAGAGTTTTTAGAGACAAAGATTGTTTTTCACACTTTTTGATTTTTTATATCTTAACGATCTCTGAACTTATACGTTCTTCTATTCCTCAGGTACTCGCGATGGCAAATTTACGCCCGAGGATAATCGAATATCCGAATACGACTCGATGTGTTATCGCGCACGCGACGCGATAACGCATAATCGTCGAAAATACGCGTGGATTCCTGTGTTGAATTCAGGGACGTAGCAATGGGATAATAAAAGAAAACGCGATATCGAATAATGGCCAATCTTTAATGAACGGATAATGGAGGATTGATAATTCAAACTTTCACTCTACCTTTGATAATTTCGTCAAAGATATTCAAGTATGTCGAGATTACAGATCGATGATATTCGAGATTATCGAAATGTGTTTTTTCCCAAAATTGTGAATACGTGAAACGAGGTTGCACCACGTTCGAGTGGGGTTCCAAATTTGGCACTAATAAATTTACGGTCATGAGAATGTTTAATGGAGAATTTATTTTCGGGCCTCTGGCTACGCTCCTGAATCGCGTCCCGGTCTTTCCTCTTTCTTCCCTCGCAGCTCGAATCGGACGCTTTAAACAAATCATAAATTGAAATTGTCGCCGCTTCCTGCGGGGGAGCTAAATGAGCCGAGTCTCTCTCCGAAGGGGAAATAAGCAATCGCTCGGAATCACATGGGAAACCCATCTGCATTGTTATTCACGGGATGCACAACAAGTATAGGACTTGATCAAGGTCCGAGTTTATCGTACGTTTATATGATTGATGCCGCAGACGCGCGGAAAAATTTGTCGATGAGTCGCTAAAAAATATATGATTAGTAAACTTGAAGTAAATTACAGAGCGAAGAGCTGTTTGTTGTAAAGTAAGTTAAAGTGTATTCTCCAAAGTCATCTAAAATGTTTTAGATTAATAATAAATATCTATTCTTTGCCTTTCAAGATATCTTAGACTTGCTGTACTTCCGAAATAGTTCAATTTTACGGTGCATTTATATGACTGTCCATACTTTTTATATTTAAGCATCCGTATTAGATAACAAAAATAAACTATTTTTTATTTTATTAAAAATATCTCCCCTAAACTTGATTATTTTAATTCGAATTACAATTCAAATTGCGTCGACGTGTAATTCAATCGCGATTGTCGACAACATGATTAATTAAGCGAATCGACTTACGCAATTTATACACTCTATTATCCTTGTATTAACTATTGCGGCTGTCATTAAATGTTTTATTCTTCTCTTCTTTACTGCTCAAGTATTTGTAGTTGAAAAATGAAGTAAATTCAAGCCATTGGTTTTGTTAACGTTTACGTTTCTATAGGGATAGAAACATGTCTGGAACTGGCAGTACCTTTCACGAAATATTTCAACGGACGACTACGATTAAAGATAAAATTCGACAAATATCCCGACTACATCGTGGAAACGGAAAAAGAAATTTACATCGAGCACGATTCCCTAATCACGTTCGTCGAGACAGATAAACCTGTCTACAAACCTGGACAAGATGTGAACATTAGAATCCTTATGCTCAAGCACGACTTGAAGCCTTGGAAGAAAACGGTTCGTTACTCCGTTACTAATTATAAGTATTATATTAGTGCAATCGTAAAGTAATAACATACGAGGATCATACAGAAAGTAATGACCACTATTTTTTTATAGATTAGGATTTTTTATTATTGAAAAATCAGATATATCATCTTAATCTACAGACTTTTGTTTACTTTTTTAATAATAATACATAATTCCAATTTTTTGGAAACGTTTTTCTTTTCTAGAAGCTTCAATATTTATTTATACTATAAAATTTTATAAGGAAGTAGTTGATGGAATGAAGTTTTACACTACAAAGAAATATTTCAGGATGAAAAAAATGTGTACAAAAAAGTCGGGATTATGAAGAAAAATTAACAAAAGGTTAAGATAATATAATTATATATTAAGATGATGTACTCGATATTTCAATAACAAAAAAATCTTAGTTTATAAAAATTGTTGCATTACTTTCGATATGACCCACGTAATATATATGTTCTCTAAAAAAAGACAATTTATTCATACAGAGTTCTAATAATAGAATCAGCTGGGGAAAGAAGAGAAGAGCTCTTATTTAATAATATGGAGCTTGTCTTTCTTTCTAGATACCTAAAGTATGGATTGAGAATCCATCCGAGGTGCGAGTGGCGCAGTGGGCCAATGTCAGTACTGAAAATGGAATGGCGCAATTAAAATTCGCTCTATCTCCGGAACCAAGTCCGGTAATGTGATCCTAAACGAGAGCACATAGCGAGAGTACGATAACGATAATGCTAAGGATGCTGTTTGTGCTACAGGGTACCTGGAAGATTAAAGTGGAGAAGAGAAGATCGCAACCGCAACTGATCCATACAACCGTATTCGAGGTGAAGAAATACGTTCTTCCGAGATTTCAAGTGACCATAACTTCACCGGGATACATTCTCGCGGATGCGGAGAATGTTACGTGGAACATATGCGCAAAGTAAATGATCATTTTGATAATCAGCGAATTGAAGCATTTGCTGAAGCGTATCTGCATAATACTGTTTTATTACAGATACAGTTATGGCAAGCCGGTCAAAGGTAAATTGCTTCTAAAATCGACGCCTCAAATACCGACATGGAGAAGGAAACCCAATCTTCCAGAAATACATTACGAAACGGAGGTCAGTAACCTTCGACTGTAGGTCGACATTAATATTTATTTTATCTTTATTAGAAAATCTGCTACTTAAACGATTCCAATTGTATCTTTATAAAAATCAAACTTTAATATTTTACAATTATGAGTGGAAATTAAATCGATGAAATAAATCAAATAAGAAAAATAATCTTAATTTCGGTCGAAGTGAAATCTTAATAATATTCATATTCAAATTTGCATATATGAATATTACCTATTTGATATTATACTAAAATCCGCTTTGAAAACAGGATCATTTATCTTACTCGATTCAATATTTTATAGACATAGTGCGATGTGAGAGATTCGATGTCCCGCGACATTTAAAATTAGCTGATCGTTACAGCTGGATTCGCCGGATGGTTGCACCGAATTTGTATTATCGGGCGCGGTGCTCGGACTCGCTCAATGGAAAGTGGCACCAAATAACATCGTCCTTATAGCTAACTTTACCGAGACTGGTACTGGCATAGTAGAGACAAGCATTAGCCGGACTGTGGTCGTGCATCAGACCTTAAAACTGGAGTTTCTACCGTACACACCAAAATACTTTAAACTGGGCTTGCCGTATCATGGAAAGGTAGATTATTGCAAGTAATTGTTTTAATTTCTTGCGTACTTATGAGACAACTTATAAGTTTATCAAGACTGAAAATTACTTAAATATTCGCTATATGCAAAGAATTAAAAGAAATAAAACAAAGTCGAATAATAAAACACTAGATGATGGATGCTACAAATTTTATTCACTTTAAAAACACCCATTAATTTCATAATTCATATTCATAATTCATGTTTCATAATTCATAATTCATATTCATAATTCATATTTCAAATATTATTCATGGTTGAAGAGGATCAACAATAAACGAAGTTTGAGACGTTTCGTGTGTTTTTATGTCTTTAGTAAAGTGAAATTTGTATTATCAGTCATCTAATTGTTTGAAATTTAACTTGTTTTATTCCTTCTATTTCTCAGAATTTCTACTTTTGGAGCTAAATAAAAGTGAAAAAATGCTTTTTGCGGAATGCGAAATCTCTTTTACAGTTACGCGTCTCGCGGCATGACAATACCCCGGCACCGCACGAGAAGATCCAGCTCTGCGTACGAGTACGCGGTAAGGACGAGTGGCTTCGCGTGGTAGTTGAATGCCGCAACTTCACATCTTCGTCTGACGGTTTTGTTGACTTTGTCGTACCACCACCGCACAGAAACATCGTCCTGCTGAGCTTCGTCGCGACTGGTATCGACTATCCTACGAAATACTACTCGCCGGACACACGTTGGCGAGTACGTTGAACAGTCATTACATATTTAAGAAAAAAGATTTAAACAAAATACTTCGTCTTTAGTTACTTTTTAATAATTTATTTGATTAATTTAAAGACGATTTATTCTAAAAGAAAAGATGAAGATACAATTTTTGAATATTTTAAAACACTTTGTGTAACCATAAAGTCGCATTTGCGAATTTATCATCTATCGTCAGGGTTGGGTTAGTTAAATTAAAGTTAATGATCTTAAAAATTTAACTTACTTAAAGTACAAGTAATTCAATTAATCCATAATGAAATTAATTTAATTAAAAATTAAGTTAATTAAAAAAAAGTAATTGAAAAATTAAAAGTTAAATATTTAGTCCGAACAAATAACCAAAAAGAAAGAAAAAGAAAAAAATTTGATCGTTTTACATAATGTTTTGTATTTTTCCTTTCTCACATAATATATATTAAAGAATCACTGGTATTTTTTTGTTGTTTACAACTAACAATTGCATAATATAAAAGACATAAAGTTACGAAATTATATATTCATTATCGCTTCGTATTGAATTAACTTCAAACAAATCAAATTAAAAGTTAATAGTTACCAATAAGATATAACTAAACTCAGTTAAAAAAAATTAAGACTCTAAAATGTAACTAAGAGTTAAATTAAAAAATTAATTAACTTTATAACTTAACTGTTAACTTTTAACCCTGTTTATTGTAAATTGCAATTAGGTTTTCATGGATCAACCATCAGCACATATCGAAGTGAATCCTTGGTACTCACCGTCAGACAGCTATTTGGCGGTAGCCCGAGGTTATCAACCGATTGTTTGCGGCGAAAAATACTCATTCAATGTCATGTATACGGTGCCGGCGAAAAGTAAAACCAACGAGTCCATTTCCTTCCATTATTCGATCAATTCTAAGGGGGACCTGTTAATATACGGTCATGTGAAACACCGACCGACTAGAGATACGGTTTTGAATTACTCGGAATTTCGGAACTTGTTAGGTGCTGTCGAATCACCAGGAAATAAAACAGATCAGGGTACAATTGCTCATAGGTAATATTCCACTTGGCAAAGTACACTTCCATAGATTCTTTTCACTTTACATTTACTTTTGAAAACCTTTGAAAATGTATTGCTTTGAATTTATTTATTTATTTAAAAAGATAAAAGTATAGGATCGTAAATTTCAAAATTTCTGACTTTCCTTGTTTCTCAAGATTTCCTCTCAGCGTCAAGATCACTCCGTCTATGGCACCTGTCTCCGAATTGCTGTTATACTACGTTCGTTCGGACGGTGAGATTGTTGCTACCACGTATTCCATCAAAGTGGGACACTGTTTCGAGAATAAAGTAAAGACCGCCTGGCACACCGACGCTCAAACCCCGGGAACAGCCACTCAGTACCACGTGGAAGCTGCTCCCTGGTCTCTCTGCGGCATTTCAGCAGTCGACAAGTCGACTCGTTTCTTAGCAGGAGCCAAAGCAAACCTGATTGACGCTGATCAGACTTTTGCTCAGATGAAGAGATTCCATATCGAACCGGAGCCGCGTCCTATTTGGACGTGGACTCATTGCAAAGGTATGTAAGATACGCGCGTAGCGATGCACAGTGAAAAAAATAAGATTAATTTTTAATTCCTCTCTTGGAGTATTTTTGTTGAATTTTTAAGTTACGAGAGGATATCCAGTTAATGTAAATCAGTTTGTGTAATTCGACATATAAATTCTTGCAGCTGCAACGCACGAAGAAACAACTAACACAGAATTCGATCATTTACCAATGCCCGCTTTTGAAGAATCACCCTCGTGGGAGCGTAAAAGGAAAAGAAGAACGGTGTACAACGGCGGACTTGTGAATTACGTAGATGCCATACAGGCGTTCGATGTGAGAACTTTCTGGAAATGTAAATAAATTCTAAGATTGTAAGAAAGGTAATTATATGTCCATTGGATCTTGCCCCGTATTTCAGGACTTCGGAGCTGTTGTGATGAGCGATTTGATACTTGAAACACGGCCCTGCCTTCAACTTCGTAGAGGTAGAGGTAGAAGCATGAACGTGAAGGCCCCTATGATTGCAACCTCTGCAATTCCTTTCTTCTCCGCAGACATGGAAACGGATGCTGGTGGGTTCCCAGAAAACTTGCTTGTTCATAAATAAATAGATAGATTTTACCCAACCAGAACAACAAGTCGCGATAACATGAAAATGAATGATGTTAAAATGAATCATTACTAATTGAAAAGTGACTCTTAGTAATCATTTTGAAGCCATTTTGATGTCATTTCTGTGTTATAATGACTTGTGTTCTGTTCGGTTATCTTTTTTTAAACTGTATTTATTATATTATATATTTATCAGATACATTATTTCGATAGAAAAAATGTTTAAAGCGAAGACATTGCCTATGGCGTATCCATTATTAAACGTGGGTCCCGAGCAGGGATACGTGGATCAAACGTCCGATCAACCTCCCCTCAGATCTTACTTCCCTGAAACGTGGCTGTGGGAATTAGTGCCGACAGGGTACATATTTTAAATTCACAGAATATATTTGTCATTAATCAAAAACAATTCCGTTGTAATTGTCTCCGGCTAAGTTTTAAATTTTATTTCATTTTCTCGTTTTGAAATATACACAGGATACATTAGCAAATTATTCTTACACTTTTTTAATGTACAATTAAATAAGAAAGCATTTTCAGTTTCCGTTTGTTTGATTCATATTGCTTCATGTATGCTTTTTTCCTTTACTTTTTATAGAAAAGAAGGCAAAGTGACGGTAGAACGTACTCTGCCTCATACCATTACTGATTGGATCGGATACACTGCGTGTGTTTCACCTACACACGGTCTCGGAATAGCACCACCGACCACCATCACGGGATTCCAACCGTTTTTCCTCGATTATAGCTTACCATATAGTGTGAAACGCGGAGAAATGTTGCGCATGAAAGTTTCCTTGTTTAATTACATGCAGCACAGTTTACCGGTAAGTTTTTGACATTTATTTCATTCTTATTCTATTATTATTCGACATTCCTAGTAAAATTTTAATAAAATTCAGAGATTATTATAAAAATAATACAAATCGATTTAGAAATACACATAAATCGATTATTAACGTAGATACATATAGAATTAAGACATACTTTCACATATATTATACGATCTTTCATATTGAATAATTGAGAGATATTCATTGCATATTAAATCGCATTTACAATAACCGACCGATATGTTATAATTGATTGAGCGATGACTTTCGCAGGTCAAGATTAAGTTGGAAGACGCAACGGGGCTCGACTTGCATCTATCGCACGCAGTCGCTTCATTCTGTGTAAAACCACGAGATAGTGTAGTACACGAATATATTCTCAGACCGCGAGTTCTCGGCGATGTTAATATCACGGTTTCCGCTTCAATCGATTCGGATTATGCCGAGCCATGCGGCCCGGAAGTGCTTGTATATACACGGTAAATGGCTCAATTTGAATATTTCTGTTTGCAGTTACTAGTATTTAACAATTCAGTAAATACATTTATTCGTCGAAATTATATATGAAAATTCGGAATTTCTTTCTTTTTTTTCAAAGAAAGTTGATTTGAGTATAATTTTAGATCATATCACGTATTTGCAAAACAATATAGAAATAATAAAGCGAAAAACAGCGCAAGATTAAAATATATAAAATAATAGGATACCTATAAATAATAGAATACCTATCATTTAATACTCCATATTTCGGTTAAATCAAAACACGTCTCATCTCAATATATTTTTATTAAAGTAAATTATTTTATACATCGTCTTAATCTTGCTCGTTTTTGTCTTATTATTTTCTATAAAAATTTTTAATTTTTCATCAAAAA